CTACGTTTCCCCGTGGATGATATCACTGCACCATTTACATCATGTGAGCTACATATTTCAAAAGGGAATGCCACAATCATGGTGGCTCTTGGTGCTTTTTCTCCTCCAGATCCTACCAAGACACCAAGAATCCATGGGGCAATAATACCACCTTGATATGTTAGCGTCTCAGTGGATAGAGTTAACAAAGGTTTTAGTGATCTGGGTCTTGACATTCCAGGAGGTGATGGGGAGAAGACTCTAGGAGAAGCAGAGAAGACATTCATACTATGGCGCAAGCGCTACATCATTATTCTCGGGGTCTCTAGTCCACCGCCGCTTCCTCAACTGCTAGACAATAGGTGCGGACAAGAGTGAACGAAATAATTTTTCACTAATTTTCTATTGACATGCATGATTAATAATAACAATTTCTTATACCTAATTATTCTTTTTTGTACTCACACAACAGGGCCTCCGCCAACCTAAGTCCAATTATTCAATCTCCAGATCATCATAGTGCTCCGGGCAATCAGGTGGCAACGCCACCACCGCCGCCACCTCCAAGGAGGTCTCCAACGCCTCCAAGGTGGTCTCCAACGGCTACCCCGCCTCCCTTGATGACCAAGAAGCTACCAACTCCTAAGAGGTCCACCCCGCAAACGAAGCCGTTGGCCCACCAGTCAGCAAAGAAGAAAGCCTCCTCTAATCTAGTTATTCTCCAAAAACTGTCTTACGAAAAAAGTAAAAAGGAATTAAATGTTGTAGTACAAAAAGATGTGAACAGTTTCTTCGAAAAAGTAAAAAAGCAACGAGAAACGGGGGAGAACCCAGAGAAAATGTACTTCTACCTACCTCCAGATCTTCTAAGAAAGAAGGTGGACCAGAAAAAGCGGGAATCTCAAAAGACCCTGCCAAAATCGGACTACGACCGCTCTCTCACCAAGTCATTTGAGGCGGCGCAGAAAAAGACTAGAGCAGGGAAAGGTGTTGCACAACTCGGACAACAATCGCAACAATCAGTCCCCCCTCTTGTCATTCGTAGTGAATATGGTTCAAACTTAGACTTACTGAACGTTGATTTTGAGGACCTGGTTCGATTTTACGAGGATACTGGTTTGGACCTTGCCCAAGTGCTCGCTGAAGGACCATCTGCTCCGAAAGTGGATCCTTGAAAGAAATTTAAACATAGAAAGAGTCTATATAATCCTGAGGCCTTAGGTGAACTGGATACGCAAATGACCCTGCTAAACAAGTGGTACATGACGGTGTGTGAACAGGAAGAGAACTTTGTTTCTGTCAGAGTTAGAAACCAACATTACTTCCGTGGCGATGATGTTATATATGTCGAGTTTTTAGAATTACACCAACTATGCCACCTAGACTCTCTCGATAAAAGTCTCATTAGCTGCTATTGTTTGTAAGTGTGATTATTTTCTACTATTAAAGTGTATATATATAAAGCTACATGTATATATATAAATTATATATCCTCATACTATATTTTTATATATGCAGATATGAGATGACAGAACTTAGAAAGAGAAAGGATAATGATATTGGTTTATTGATCCAAATATCGTATTCAAACACCCTAATCCCCTGCCTCAATGGAAAGCTAAACTCGAGAAAAACCTCATGAGATTCTTAGTGAACCAACAAAACAAGGACATACTCTTCCCCTACAACTTCAAGTGAGTGCTAAATATTTAATGTCGATCATATGGACATTTGTTCAATTATTTGCTTACTAGCTAAGCTATCTCCCATATATATATATATATATATATATATATATATATATGTTGACTTTAGTTAATGTGGATCATATTTGTGTATAAAAACATATGCAGCAATCACTGGATATTGATGGTCATCGATATGGCCAATAGTCGGTTGAGCATCTTACACTTGTTAAGAAAAGAGCAAACAAAGTACCAAGACATGATAGATATTATCCAAGGGTAATTTGGTCTCTCTAGCAACTATATATACCCCGATCTCTTAACTGTAACAATTATTAAAGGCCAAATTAATTTTTTATTTTATTGGGTGTAGTGTTTAAAAAAGTTTCATTGAGAAACACCACATAAAACATTGCAAAGCGCCACTGGATGTAATCGCACACAAAATAAGTACTAGCTACATTTATATATATATAATTCAATTAACACCATGCATGTTTTCAATTCACCTGATCTTTTTTCTCGTAAAAGTGGGTTCTGAGGCAAGAACAGGGGGACCAACTACTGCGGATACTATGTTTGCGAGTTCATCATGGCGTACGCAAAAAGAACTCCTGAAGAGATCCTCAAAGTACGTTATATAAATATATTCATATATTCACAATTTCTTTTATTGCTCATATATATAAGTAATCATGTGACCAACACACATATATATTAATACTTTTTCTTTAACTCTTATTGAAGACTCTATGGTTGAAGGAAAAAATCATACGACGTGACCAACTGAGAGCAATTCAAGAGACCATAACATGATTTCTTAATGACCAGGTCCTAAACCCCGCCGGCGAGTTCTACAATGACATGAACGAAACATGGAAGCAAAACCAGATGGAGTGAATTTGTTATCCCAAGAATATAATAGAATATACAATGCAAGCTTTATTTATAATATATATATATATATATATACATATTATATGTACATAAAATATCGTACAATATATGTATATGCATATAATATATACGTTATTTTCATACTTTAATTTGTACGAAATGTTCGAACATTATAAACGTGTAGAATACGTATATTATTAGCAGCGTAGAATGCGTATTCGAAAACCTATTCAAAAACCAAAATGAATCATCAATTCAAAATAGAAAAAAAAACATTTAGTCCCGGTTGGTAATACCAACCGGGACTAAAGAGCCGGCCCACGTGGCCAGGCCAGGAGGCCTCTTTAACCCCGGTTGGACCTTTAGTCCCGGACGAGAAACCGGAACTAAAGAAGGAGCCCTTTAGTCCCGAATTCGTGCTCCCGGTTGGAAAACCGGGACTGAAGGGGTTTCTCAACCGGGAGTACGACTTGTTTCTGTACTAGTGGGGGGAGCTCGAGACCGCCGCCGAGACATCACCTTCGGCGTCGGCGTCGGGAAGATCGCCGCCTCCTAGCCCTAGCTTCACGTCGTCCATGGATTCGGCTTCTTCATTGTCGCGCTTGTGCCCGGAGAAGAAGAGACACGAACGGAGCAGCCGAAAAGCCTGGGTTTTGGGTTTGGGTTTGCCCATGCACGCATGCCTGTCCAAGATCGTGATTGTCTCTCGTCGATAAATTGCTGCTGCCGGCGGCTTGCCAACAGTACATATATATGACAGGCGGCGGGACAAACACATCGATCGTATCCTAATCATACACAAATTCGTTCGAGAAAAATTTGGTTAAACTTTAGAATCTTTAATAATTAACCACTAATTTGGTCAAAAATTTTAAACTGCTGTAAGCAAATTTAGTATGGTTAGATTTGTAAGCAAATAGCCAAATACATTATCCACTAATCATGCATTTATTTCGTTTCAAAGAAAATCATGCATTTATAATCAAATATAAGTAGTAGTATAAAACAAACGAATTATCACAAAGTACAAACTTGGGAAACCATGCCATGTTAAATTGTGGACTTTCAACGGGATAGGATTTCATCGGACGGCCGTTTCCCATGCGTGCCTGCACAACCTGCAACCCATTCGCTTTATCCAGCCCTGTCTGCATGCGCATCACGCTATTGGTGCGTCCGTACAACTCACTCGTAACCGCCCCGTCCATCTCGATTCAATCCGCCCCCATCCGTTCGCCCTGCGCAGGCGCACCCCGCCCGTCGTACTCGACCGCCGGCCCAAGCGCGACACGCGTCACGTCCGTCGGTCAACGGCTCGCCGTGCCCCATTCCCCAGTGCCCGTGCCATGCCACCATCACTCTCCCACGCCCCCTGACTCTCCGAATTGCATGAAACACGTGCAACATGAAACACTTGAATGCAATATACGTCTGAAACAAAGATGGAACATACACTTGCAACATATGTGTGAAAACATATGCAACATCTAGATAGAACACTTGCAACTTGCAACATGAAAACACTTGCTGCAACGGGAGACTGGAATAGATGAAACCTTTGAAACATACTGTTGCAATATATATGTGAAACATATGCAACATTCATATCAAAACGCTTGCAACATACGTCTGGAACAGATGAAACATTTTGAACAAACTCTTGCAACATGTCTCTGAAACATTTGCAACATATGCAGCACGTGCAACATCCACGATCTACTTTTGCAACATCCATATTAAACAAGTGCAACATACCTCATAAACGTCTGAAACACTTGAAACATATATTTGCAACATAGAGGAGGGAGCGCCTGTGCCGATCAATTCCGGCCGTCGGGGTGGGAGCTGGTGGCAAGTGGCGGCATCCGAGCACCACTAGCATCCAGCACCAGCGGCGCACGTGAGCACCAACGCCACCAGCTTGGGTCGGCTGGCCGGGAGGCGCGTGCGACAGGAGGGCGTGAGCGAGCGGCGATAGATGGGGCGCACGACAGCAGCGAGGGGGGAGTGCGCGTCTACATCCAGGATGGGGCAGCCGCAAGGCGCTATGAGAAGGGAGGATGAAGCAGAAGAGATAAGGATGGGTGATTTATTTTTAATAAATTCATGGGTAAAGCGAGCGGCGGGGTAGAAGCGCAAGCAACGAGGCGGTGAGCCTGCGGGAGCGTCCGATGATTTGTGTTCATGTCGAACGTAAAACGCGTAGCATTACCGTAAATTATGCCTTTAAAATTGGACTCCATTCACTCATCCATTCTTTCTATAAAACATTAAAACAACACAAAATACAGAATACTCCAATATACATGTATGAGCCTAACTATACCTTTTGTGCATGAATGTTTTTTCTTTTTCCTTTTACGTCAGTAGTATACGTACTATATAATGCTGTTCCGATTCAGTCCAGCTAGCTTGTGCCAATATAAATATACAATCTCTTCATACAACCTTCTTGGTGGTGGCCGTGGCAGCATTATCATCGGCGGCGTTTTTTTTAGCCCTGACGGCGACCGAGCCATCGTTGCCGGCGAGCTTCATGTACTTGTCCTTCCTGGTGAGCGTGGTGCACTGAAACCCGAGCTCCTTGGCGATGACCCTCTGCACGTGGTTGGCCACGTCGGCGGCGCTCCTCCGGCCGGCGCCGCACGTCTCCTCCGGCCGCAGCGGCGGCAGGAACGTGACGTCGTACCCGGGCCGCGGGTTCATGTAGAAGAAGTAAGGGTCCAGCCACTTCCACCCCCTCGCCGTCGACCCGTAGTAGGTCCCCTGCCGCGCCTCCATCGCCACGGGCACGATCCGGTCCGTGAGCTCCGCGAACAGCGCCGAGAACCGCAGCAGGCAGGGCTCCCGGCACGTGGTCCCCTCGGGGCACACCACCACGTCGCCCTCCGCCAGCAGCGCCGCCATGCGCGCCGCGTCGGTGGCCCGGTCCCGCGACAGCGCCACGGCCCGGATCGGCGAGATCGCCGTCGAGAGGCGGCTTGCGCTGTACGTCACGCACGACACGGGCCGACCCAGCGCCACGGACAGGATGATCGGGTCCAGCGCCGTGCGGTGGTTGCACACCAGGAGGGAACCCGGCGCACCCGGCGCCGGGGGCGGCGGCGGCGTCCCCCGGACGCGGAGGCGGATCCCCGTCAGGCGGTACGTGTGGCGGACCAGGCGTACGGGGATCATGAGGTTGAAGAAGACGCGGAACAGCGCCAGCAGGAAGCCCACCGGGAGGTAGGCCAGCGCGAACAGCGCCTGCGCCGGGTCCGGGCGCTGGACGAGGCGGCCGTCGTGGAAGACGGCGCGGGACAGCAGCGTGTCGGCGGCCGCAAGCGGCGCGCGCTTGTCCAGAGGCACCATGTAAGCTTCCTGCCAACACAGACACAGCATACATACATTCAGATTCAGTAGATGCAGAGTCAAGTGGCTGATAATTTAATTTAATTACCTTTTTATTATGCTATAAATCAACATTCTTAGACTAATCATGAGCCATAAATTTTGTTGATATTACCTATAAACTTAGTCAAATAAGGTTGACTTGTTCTAAAATTAGAATTGTATCTTTTTTGACCGGAGGTGTACTATTTCTCAAAGTCATCATCTTCACAATAAGAAAAATTCCTTTTTTTCCTAGACTACTGTGGGAGCTTTAGTAGAAAGGTTTGCAGCCACACACACAAACAGGGTGCCTAAGGGCGTGTTCGGCGGGCTTTAAGCTGGCTGGCTGGCTGGTCAGTCAACTCACGGAGTCACTATTCACGTTATGTTAGAACAGTATTTTCCACTTACAACAATCAGACAGAACAATATTTTTCAGTCCCGTCGAACAGGCCCTAAGATGTGACAGCTGGTGCTACAAGAACAAGTATGGCATTTGTTTGACTTGGGCCCTGTTTAGTTCACCCAAAATTCAAACTTTGGCACTATAAAAAAGAAGATTCTCCGTCACATCAATTTTGCGGTACATGCATAGAGTACTAAATGTTGACGAAATCAAAAACTAATTGCACAGTTTGGTTGTACTTTACGAGACGAACGTTTTGAGCCTAATTAGTCAATGTTTGGACAAGTATTACTAATTGCTACAGTACCTCCATGAAATCCGGCGGCGCCGAATTGGGGACCAACTAAACGTGGCCTTGATGAGGCAAAGAAGAACAAATCCTAGTGCTTGACTGCTTACTAAACTCAGAGTCATAATTTAATCCAGCAGCAAAATTTAATTTTAATCCACCTGAATGTATCGTATCGAAAAGCTTAAATTTTTGTAATAAGCAACCAAAAAAGAACGGATAGGCGAAGGCGATTCATTACTCTCGTACCTTGCAGATGGCCATGAAGTCGTGGTCGCTCTCGCGGTCCCCGAGCCCGACGTCGGGCAAATCCCCACCGGCGAAGAGCCTCCGCACGACCTCGGCCTTCCTCTCCCCGACGAGCGCGGCCTTGATCCTACCCGTGAACCTGGCGTTCCCGAACGCGCAGAAGGTCTCGAGCTCGGTCCCGGCGACCTCGGCGCCGAGGAACCCGCGGGCGAAGTCCCCCACCATGACGGCGGGGGACGCGGTGACGACGACCCTCCGCCCCTCGCCGCAGCCGCGGAACACGGCCCAGGTGTCGGCGCGCACGCCGGCGGCGTAGTGCCGCGGCAGGACGCCCCGGGCGACGGCCTCGACGTCGCGCACGCGGAGCCCCGCGAACGTGACGAACGCCAGCACCGCGATGGCCGCCGCCTCGGAGACCAGCGTGTAGAGCGCCAGGAGGAGCGGCGCGACGAGGAGGAGCGCCAGCGCGCGGACGCAGGAGCCGGCCTCGAGTGCTACGAGGAAGTAGTAGGGGAACGCGGAGGAGGAGGCTAGCAGCGTGCCGTCCAGGTCCGCGGCGGCGGTTCGGCGGACCCGCGCCGACGCGTCGTAGGACGACACCGGTGGGAACCTCGCGCTCGCGGCGGGGGGCGCGGGGGCCACGGCCATGGCGAGAAAGACGATGGTGTTGGTGTCTGTCTGGGTCGGAAAAGGTTGGTTCTTGGCAGGCGACTTTATATGGTTGGACTTGGTGTCGCGGCGGCGGCGGTGGCTGCGTTTGTTGAGCGGCCCAACGCTGCGGTTGACGGAGGGATTTATATGTAGGACGGGGCCGGCAGCAGAGGTGGTGATCGGAATCGGAGCAGAGAAGGGAGGAGGAATCCGAGCAGGCGTGGAGTTGGGTGGGGGATCGGATTCCGAGTCGCGCACATGAAGCAGGCGTTTGTGCCCGGATTGGTGTGGCCTCAAAGGGGAACGCGAAGAAGAGACGGTGACAGACAGACGGACCGGCGAGCTGACGAAGAAGAAGAGAAAGAACAAATTACTACAAATTAGGCGTCGTATCTGTGGTCAGACATGCCAATCTGCAGGCCAATCCGGGTTGGTTAGCGCTTGCTTCTACTTTTGCCGTTGACCGAGCCGACGTGGATTTCTTTCATGGGGATTACTGTAGATTACAGTACAGTACCCTCCGTGGAATGTGCTGCTCCATTGAAGTGGGTGATGTGCACAGGTAAACTGCCTGCCGAGACCTTCACTTGGATCGATGGCGATGGATCATCTCTAGACGTCAGAGTGTTTGGCAAGAGCAGCAGGCGGCCGATGACCAACACTCCTTCCTGCTTTCATGCTTTCAGCTTTCGGCCTTTCCCTCTTTTCCACCGTAATACGGTAATATAGGCCTGGTTTAGATTGCAATTTTTTTTTTTTGCAATCTGGACACTGTAGTATGTTTCGTTTGTATTTAACAAACTTTGTCTGATCATGGACTAACTAGGCTTAAAAGATTTGTCTCGTGATTTACAATCAAACTGTGTAATTAGTTATTTTTTTACCTATATTTAATGCTTCATGCATGCGTCTAAATATTGATGTGATGGAGAGAGAGTGAAAAAACTTGGAATTTTGATGTAATCTAAACAAGGCCATATAGTCGATACAGTGGAAATCATCTCATCTCATCCCATGTGCCCCACGTATGAAGGATTTTTTTTAGCAGATTGGGCAAGTGCTCTGCCTTTTCATTTAGTAGATAGATAGCAAAAGAACGATCTGTTACATGTACAGAGTTGAATGAGGAATAATATATAAAGGAAAAAAGGAGGAAGGATGACCGAATATGCCGATTCTGCTTCTACACTGACTTCCTCTGTTGCTAGCCTAGTGAATGCATGTCATCCTGTGTCGCTGTAAACAAACAACTGCTGATTGTTGAGGGCTTTGTTGTCAAAAACACGCCTACATCTTTCCTTCCAAAGGTTCGTGGCCTTGTTCAGATTGTCTCAAAGTTCTAAGTTTTTTCACTTTTTCTTCGTCACATCAATTTTTGGATATATACATGGAGCATTAAATGTAGATAAAAAAGTAACTAATTGCACAGTTTGGTTATAAATCACGAGACGAATCTTTTGAGCCTAGTTAGTCCATGATCGGACAAAGTTTATCAAATACAAACAAAACATGCTACAATGTCCGGATTATAAAAATTTGCAATCTAAACAAGACCCCGATGTGTAGATTATGATAACCAACAGCTCGTTGCTTGTTGGGTGTGCTTTTTGTGCTTCCCTGCACCCGGGACAAAGCTTGTACACGGACTCCAAAGGATTATTTATTTATTCATATATCATCTTTCTTACCAGAAAAGATACGAGTTATATTATCGAAACACACAAAGAGCTGAACAACTCTACTAGATGTCCTACCTCCAGTAAGATGGGGCATTTACATATTTACCACTATTATGAATGATATCTTATACTGTGTCACTGACATGATATTTCTTATATCACTCACATCGCCATAATGATAAATATGTAAAAATTCCCTTTAAGACCGTCTCCAACACAAGACCCATTGCGAAACCCAAACTAAAATGGATCTTCAACACAATACATATAGCCTCCAATAGCTTCCGACCATGGCCTTATGGAAGACCCATTTTATTCTTTATGCAACATGTATTTGGCAAAAATTGTTTAAATGGACTATTTAGTAAAAGATCGTCTCTCTCTGCAATTAGACCCATTTGAAGAAGACTATAAATAGATATTGAACTATTTACCTATAGCGCTAGAACAAGTCTGATATTTCTGGGTGCGATGGTTGGCAAACAGTCTAATGCTAGCTTCCGACCATGATGAAAAATGATGAAAGGAAGCATCACATCACTGTGGGCCCCTGAATCAACCTGCCTGCCTGCCTACCGTACGTGTAACCGTAGCTTACCAACCAGTTACCAGCCAATCCATAGCAGATTCCGACAAAAGAGGCCACCGCCAGTTTCCTTCTCTTCCCGTTGTGTGTGGACGAGCTCACGAGTCACGACCATGACATGACATGCTAAACAGGCTGCTATGTCCACGTCCGGGCTCATCTCGTTGCCGGAGACGTGGTTCCTGTGTGGATGCACGAGAAACATCTGCACACACTCCAGTTCCTGTAACTATGGTACACACGTGGACAATTGAGGAATTTTTATTTCAAATAATATTATTTTAATAAATAATTGCAAATCTAGACGGGATTATAAAAAATTTGCAGGACGGCACCTGAAAGCCAATTGGACGGTTATCGGCTGTTGGTTAGCCGATATGCCCATACCACGCCTTGTATGCAGATTAGTCTGGCCACGTCAAAGATTTTTGTGCCGATGTTGTCAAATAGAAAATTATTTTTGTGCCGATAGGCATATCGGCATCCGAAGGGAAGCCTCAGGGTCTGCCACAGCAGGTGCTCAGCGCTCCGGTCACTCCTTCAACCCCATTTACATTTACAACGTTGTATTATTTCTTTACCGTTGCATTTACTAGTGCGACTGATGCATGTGCTTTTGCCATTTGGATGCCTCCGTTAGAATTCAGCAAGGAGACGACAGTTGAGTAGCGATGGAACTGGACATCGAGTGTTTCATTTTGCAAGAGTATTCTAAAACATTTTATTCTATAGTAGCCTAGGGGCCGCTAAGGCATGTTGTATTCAACATTTCTCTATTTTAATATAAAAGCGCGCAAATATTTTGCGTGATCGAGAAAAAATATTTTAAAAGGTCACAAACTTAATTTTCTGGAACTAGCGTTTTAGTCGCGCCAAATGTCGTAGCAGTACCACTAAATAAATTGGAGTGACTAACTAGTCATGCTAGCGCGTCGAGAAAACACTTTACATGTCGAGGAGTAGTCGTTAGAGTCCTCGTGGCGAGATCGAGGGCGGTTCACCGATGAGCAAGAGACGCTAGGTGCCATCGAGTCTGGATTGGGCCGTGGTTGGTCGGTGCCTCTTCTTCGTGATCTTGCCGATGCACAGTTGATGAAAGTAGAGGAAGTAAGGCTAGATCAGGCTATAGTGGATCAGTGCGCCTTCTTGTCGCTTCGACATAGTTGAAATATTTTTTTATTAGAGAATATTTTCAAGAGTTCAACATAATCAGGAAAAAAATATGACGACATATTATTGTTATTGCCTCTTGTATAACTCATATGAAAAACCTTTTAGGAAAAAAAAAACATGAATAAGTTGTGAGGGCAATATACGTCTTTGATATTTTCTAAAAAAAAACTTGTTAGGGAAAAATAAAAAATATGACCCATGCTGTGTTTGATTTATTCTTTCAGGACAAATAGATAGAAAAGGACTGAAAAAAACTCTCAGTGGTTATAAAAGGACAGATAAGAGGATGATGTTATATCCAAATAAATATGTTGTGTTTGATTTTTTTAGCATCTCCATATAAATTTATAATTTGTTTGAGGTCTTTAAATACTTCGCTTAATATAAAAAGGAAATTATAAAAACCAAAATAGTTTTTTTTTAACACAAAACCAAAATAGTAAAGGGACGTGACTGGCTTGTTGTCGTGTGGAGTCTGGGCGGCCTGTCGGCCAGTGAAGCGCCGATTCTGGACGGCCGATAAGAGTTTTAGTCGGCTAACCAGTTGCCAACTGGACTCCTGTGGTTTTCATTTACCACACAGGCTGTCGGCAATTCTATGCTACTTTTGAAATTTTGTAAAAAGAGCACCCAAATCTGTAATTATTTATTAAAATAATATTATTTGAAAAAAAAATACGATAATTGAGCTGAAACAGGTTCATAATAACAATACATATTAATTGTAGCTGCCACTATGACACAAAGATCAGAGTGGCGCAGCGGAAGCGTGGTGGGCCCATAACCCACAGGTCCCAGGATCGAAACCTGGCTCTGATATGTTTTTGTCTTTTTTTTTTTGCTTTTTCCAATACGATTTGATTTCCCGATTCGGCTTTCCTCCCCTCCGATTCCAATTTGGTTTTTGTTTTTCCCTGTACGATTTGATTTTTCTTTTGCTTTATTATACACACCACACATCTCAATCCATATGCTCTTGCAGTCACATCACACCTCATAATCGTAACCTTAACGAACGAACGATATCACCTGCGTATACAAATCATAAGCTACTCTGTGATCGACATCGAAACCTAGTCACAATTTCAACATTACACCGATAGCAAAACGAAACCCTCATGCGCATATGACTGTCAATGCACATCGCCGCCCATCACATTCGCAGGTATCAATCCCATCGGCTATATTCAGATATCCATCAGGTACGTACAGTACTCAACAAACAAGCTCAAATATTTTTCTTACAGCTAGCAGTCCAAAAAGAGCACAAATAACAGGAGAACCAAAACAAATCCTAACTAGTTGTTGGCTGTATATGGAGTCCAGCCTTATTGAATTCACATCACAGTATATATGTGCATGAATCATCCCCACTAGCCAAATGTTCGGCCAACGCGGATAGTCAGTTAGAACATACACTCGGCATCAAGCTTAGATGCACACCTTCAGATGGTGATCACCATGCACCTCTCCGGCGTCAAGTCCTCCTCAACCAATGGGCCTACAGAAGTGGTAACCAGGAACCCATCTACTCTCGCCGCTATGTCCACATCAACTGT